GTTTTTATTTTATTTTTTATTTAGTGTATTACCTTAAAATTAACACAAACTTTTCGTCACAAAGGCGTGTCACTGCCTGTGACATCAGAAGCGGAAAAAGGTCCGACGCGCCCCATCAAAAAAGACGCAGCTGTACCCAATTATTACTAATTGGCGACTTGACTCAGGAAGGTGAGAGGCATTTGGATTTCTCTCCAACTTTTGGCGTTTTAAGTCCGTGTATTGATTAATTTAAAAAGCCAACACCTCACTCAAAGTCGAAGAAATCTTTTATTAGTATTATTTACTTTATCATGTCTGCAGCCAAGATGATCCAGACCTACAGCACCTCCTTCTGGACTCTTTCATGTTTAGGTCCTGCCCCGCTGCCCCTGGACCCAGACTGACCACTGATGACTGGAGTTTAATACCTGCTCAGCTGAATAAGGATTGTTATGTTTTTATTTTTTTCTCAGCTATGTTAGTTTCACTGTAGAGGCTGTGCTCTTAGTTGGTCAGGGTCACTAATGGACCCTGACCAGGATGTTACTCAATATGTTAGTCTGCTTGTAGCTGCTAATTTTCAGACCAGTGACCAGAGCACATGTTTAGGGTCATTTTTATGAGAAATTGACTGTAACAGTTGTTTCAATATTTATCATTGTTTTCCCAGGCTTTTTTTTCCCCCCAGATTCATCCTGAAGATCTTCAACCCAGAGTTTTTGGGGGGTTTTTTTGCCAGATTCTTCCAGATTCATCCAGATTCTTCCAGATTCTTCCAGATTCATCCAGAAGATCTTCAACAAAGTAGGGAGCGTCGTTTTTCTTGTCCTCTTTGCGGCTGCCGTGCCGCTGCTGTGCTTCCTTGGGCCGCCGAGCCTTCCTTCATGTGTTTGAATGTGGAATTCGAATTGTGGTTCATAGGCTGGTGAATCTGGATGTCTAAAGGCTGACGTCCAGTAACTAGTTCACTGCAAGTGTGGCGCCCCCTCCTGGTTGCCACGCCTACATCGCCTCCAGTACTGCAAGTCCCAGTAATGGGCATTAGCTGGTCTCAGAAACATTTTTTGATTTATTTATTTAGAGTTTAAGTAAACCAATTCAAATTTTTTGCGTTTGTGGTTGTTTTCCACCGTTGTGGATGTTGCGATTGTCTTCCACGATTTTGATGTCCCGTTTGCGGTCGTTTTGCACCAGTTTGGACGTTGCGATCATCATCAACCATTTTGATGTCCAGTTTGTGATCACCACCATTTTGGATGTTTCCAATGCTGTTCAGAGTGACCACATAAAGTCAAGCTTCCACTATCAACATGGATGTTAAGATTCATCTACAAATAAGGATGTCAAGCCTAAACTATCAACATGGATGTCAAGATTCATCTACCAATAAGGATGTCAAGCCTAAACTATCAACATGGATGTCAAGATTCATCTACCAACATGGATGTTCAGCATTCTTATGTCATGTAGATTTCCCTGCCTTTGTAATTTATGTCAATGTAAACATGTAAATGTTGTTGCCTTTGTATTTCCTTCAATGTATATATGTATGCTGGACTGTTGGACTCATATCAATGTGAACCCTGACTGTTCTGTTGGTCCGTTGTGCTGTTGTCCACGTCTCGTCCTCATTGTTTGCATGACACCTGGTCAGTGTTGGTGGTGCAGGGATTTAGGTGGTGTTGACTGAATGTGGTAAGATCAGTCAATCAAACAGGTAAGACCCCCTCAACATTTCCTGCCTCAGAGGTGTTGGTGCTGGATCTGAACGACTTCTGGAAATCCAGCTTCCTGGACTGCAGGGTGGACGTAGCCCAGATGGACCAACTCCATGGGAGCCATTTGTCCTCAACCATGTCTTCAGGTTTATTCTTCACATTGACATTTCTGAATCTGTTCGCTTTAACCTGATCTGATCTGTCTAGGATTCTGTGGACCAAGTCTGGAGAAGATGGATTCTGGTAGAATGGACCAGGGGTGAGCAG